CGGTGCGGCATAGTGCGGCGCGCCGTGACCCCTGAACGACGTTCATCGATCGGGGTGCACGCACTCTACCTCCGGCGGCACTGCGCTCTTCTATTTTACCACTTCCCCTTCTCTCGCTTCCATCTTACTCTTTCTCTTTTTCTTTCTCCCTTTTTCCATTTCCGATTCACAATTTTCTATTGTTATGCCTTCTCAGAATGTTCAAACATTTTTTTTCCTTTCTTAATTCTTCCTTGTACCTGTCAAAGAAATTAAGCGTATTGTTGGTATTCTATAAATAGATATTTCAAAGAATATTCAAATAAATTTATTATTTTCCTAAATTTACTTAAATTATTTTCAGAAGTATATTTGATATATTTGGTATATTCTAATATTGATATAATTTTGATTTTTATATTTTATATTTAAAATATAAAACATAAATAAATATATATTTAGAATATAATACGTAAAGTAACAAAAATATTTTAAAATATATTAAAATATAATATAAATCTCATGAAATAAATAATTTTTTTACTTAAAATAAATTGTCTTTTAAATATTTGAGAAGGATATTTAAAAAGTTTCGATATTCTTTTTGATGTATTTTTAGCAATTGGACACATTGAAAATTTTATGATTTATTTTAGTATATAAAACTATATATAACTATATATGTCTTTATATATATATATAGTTTGAATTTGCAAAACTATTTGGACGTCTTATATATATATCTTATATTAAATTATATGGTTAAAATATTTTATATAATATTAAGAGATTATGAAATTATAAAATTACATTACTTATATTATAATAATGCAATAGAAATTTGTTTATGTACTATTTTATTATATTTGTTTTCAATATAAAGTATATAACAGATATATAATAATACATAATAATAGATACATAATAATAAATAAATAAACGAATAATATAATTTTATTATATTAATAACGAAAATCAAAATTAATGGATTATTTTTATGTTTTTACCATGTTCACCAAAAATGATATTAACGTGAAAAAAAAATATAATAATTAAATTTATAATAATAAATTTAAAATATAATAAGTGGATATAAAGTAGCGATATAATAATGAATTAATGAATGTAGTATTAACTTCAAAAAAATGAAAACAATCGTTCTAAAATTTCACTAAATTACGTTTTAAATAAATTTGCTAAAAACAAATTGGAATTAATGAAAAATAATTTATATAAATTTAATGTTAATAATATTATAATATATAGTATATAATATAAAGTTTCTTCTTTAAATTCTTGTTCATTTTATCATGACATAATTGAAATAAATTTTGATAATTTACAATTAAAATTAAGATAATAATGTTGTTGTATATTTCATTGTTCTCGAAATACATTTCTTTTGATATTCGCTACTTAAATGTAGTTTTCTAGCGATCTCGAGTCCAAGTGCTTCCCTTAGGAGCATTCACCTTTTATCTTTCGATCGAAATTCCTGCACGAAGTTACCGCCGCGTACCAGAGAGAAGAGCTAGCCCGACTTTAGAAGCGTTTCCTGGAGCAATGAAACATTCTTTGTTTCCATCCATTCGGTTATTCGCGCATTTTACCTTCTTCCTTTCTTCTAATTTTGCTCTTCTACGCACTTTTCTTTCTTTTACTCTCCCGTTTCTTTTATCTTTTATCCGTCTCTTGTTCTATCTTTCTTCTGTGTTTCTACGTTTCGTCATGAAAATGTGAATACGTCGTTACGTGGAACATCATAAGTTCACAAGCTAATTAGAAAATAATCATATTCATGACCTTGGACTCGCAGGGTACCGATCTCTTTTCTTTTTGTTCTCTGCCTTTCCCTTTTGCTCTTTTTTCTTTACCCGTTCATTTATCTACGAAAAGTTCAGGTAAAACAACCGTCCAGTGGAGTGATTTAATTAAAAGGATGATATTTTTTTCCTTGTGAATTGTTTACGAATCATTTAGAGAAAAGAGAAGAATTTAAAGAAAAGAAAGAAAAACAAATGAAAAATAGAGAAAAGATAGATTTAAATTCGATTCGCAATAAATATGCAACGAGAAGAAACAATTTCCGGTCACTATCATGATAAATGTCAATAAATCACAAATAATCACATCCGATGATCGATATACTTTTAATCCAGTGATGAGCAAAATTTAATAGTTGAACAGTTATGAATAAAGTTACTTCGATAAGTTCAATAAGTTTTTTATTATTCAAAAGTTTTATTATTCAATTTATTATTATATAATAATAATCGCAAATAATTGTAATGCCAAACAATCGAAATTGTATGAAAAACGGATTAACTAGCTACGAATAAATGTTATTTAAGCATTTCAATAAATAATTACTTAAAGTAACTTATTCAAAATTTTTTAGTAATTTTAAAAGTAGTTTTGACATTTTTTGTACAGTCTAAATTTTTATAGGTTAATTTTTGAGAATGAATATAGATGATTTCATTATATTTCTAGCAAATTTATAAATCGAGTTTTTTATGTATAACGTATTTGATTATATATAATGGTTTATTTCAAATTACTCAAATATTTTGAAAAATATAAATGATAGGAAAGAATATATCAGATAAAAATTGTTCAATATAAAAAGATATATTATACGTAAAGGTATATTGTATAATATCAATAAATTTTCTATAGATTTTAGAGATAATAGAGTCAACTTTAATTTTTTAAAAAGAATTATATAATTTTTATTGTTCTAATCAATATAGTTCGTTATTTTTGTACAAAAGTTTCAAAGTTATTTATATCAAAAAATCATTAGTTTAAAAAATATTATAATTTGAAATTTATAAAACTTATTTTATGAAAAATATTAAAAAATATTAAATAATATTTTATTACTTATGTTTTTCTTGTCTTTCATATAATAAATTTCACTATAAACGATTAATTTGCTTTTACTTATTTTCATATGTTTAAGAGAAAACAAATTAAAAGAAACTTTATATTCATAGAAAATGCATACGAAATCATATTTCTTTGTGCAATTTTTTTTAGTAATCATCAATAATATTATACTTTTTTAAAGAGATTATTAAGAATTATGAACATAATAATAACTACAAAAATTGAGATTGATATATATATAGATATCAATATAAATATAAATTTAAATAAAAGAACGATAAATAATAAAATTAAGTTAAAAATTATTATTTCAAATTTATAACATCTCTAATATATATATCTCTAATTATAATATCTCTTTTATCTCTATTTTCATAATTCACATGCCTATATTCAAATATAATAATTCAATTTTTGATAATTAATTATATATTTTATATAAAATATTTTAATCATTTCGGTTCTTGTTATGTCATATAAAATCAAAATTATCTTGTTTAAATATTTTTAAAATATGTAGAAATATAATAAGATAGGAAATAATAACGAGGAATTAATAATAAGATAGAATTCTGACAGTTTAGCTAATCTAACCTAACCTAAACTAATTCCGTATTATGCATTCGATAAATTTTGAAATTCAATTCTCTCTAAAATTATTTTTCAGAGAAAAATAGTATATTGTAAAATAGTATATTGCATTATATTATATATATATTAGTCCTATAAATTGTTTATTTACTATACAGTCAGTTATTAATTAAATTCATATGTATTTAATAAGTTTTTAACTAAACTAAATTTTAACTGATTTTTTTTGAAAATGAAAAATATTTTATATTATTTTATATTTTACATTTATTTTTATATCTTATTTTATATATATCTTATATATTTATATGATTTTTTATCTATATTCATTATCCGAAACATTTTTTTACAAATATAATATAATGTGTAGAATAAAATATGAAATAAAATTATAATTCAATATACTGAATGTTCAGCAATAATTAAGTTAAAAATTAATAAAAGAGAAAAAAAAATTTATATAAAATTGAGAGAGAAATGGAAATTATACTTTGTATTTATTAATATTTCAAAATTGATAATGAAGATATAATTAGATATAATTAAAAAAATATAATAGAAAACAATTGTTAAAGAAAAATATTTATTTTTGTTAACAGGGATGCCGGTTGATTGAAGATGGCCTCGCCGACACTTTCGCTGGAATCGCGCGCGAATTCCATCGGATCCCTGGCCTCGCTGTCCCCACTTACAGTGAGCGGCAGTTCTCCGCCTGCGAGCGACTCGGCGATTTGCGACGTCGACAGCTGCGACCTTTGCCTCGACTCGCAAAAACCTGGAGAGGCACCTTGCCCGCGGTGCCGATTAGGAGGCGCCGGTGGAGTTCGTTGTACCGGGTGCAAATCCACTGAATCCGACGCTGTAGCTCGTTGCTTCGACTGTGCGAATTTCCTTTGTCCTAATTGCGTGATGGCGCATCAGTTCATGCACTGCTTCGAAGGCCATCGTGTCCTCAACTTGGGTGATTCGAAACTCGAGACGGTTACCACCAGCACCGCGAATAACGAAATCCCAAAAAACAATTTGGTGATCAACAGCGGTAGCAGCAACGGCGAGAAAGTACCTTATTGTCCTCGGCATAAACAGGAATTACTAAAATATTTTTGTCGCACTTGTACAGCATTAGTTTGTAAAGAGTGCGCTATTACCGATCATCCTGGCCCATTACACGATTGCGCGCACATATCTGAGGTAGGGACGCAACAACTCGAAGCAATGGCAAGAGTAGTTCAAGAATGTAGAGCAAAAGCCGCGGATGTAAGAGCCGCTGTGAAAGCAGCCGATCACGGAGCGGCACGGCTACAAGTGCAGTATCACAAAGCGCAAAATGAAATCAACGACACTTTTCAATTCTATCGATCGATGCTCGAAGAACGTAAGCAAGAATTGTTGAAAGAGCTCGAATCGGTATTTTCCACGAAACAAATGTCTCTTGGTGTTCTAACGCAAAAGGCCAACGACATGGCTGATAAAATGCTTCAAACTTGCGAATTTGTCGAACGATTAACTAAATATACTACTGTTACGGAAGTACTGATGGTAAAGAAGCTTCTCGACTCGAAACTTCAATTATTATTGAATTATACGCCGGACATTGCCAGTCAAACCGCCGATCTCGAATTTGTCAGTAATTACCAGGCGATTCAAGTAGGCGTACGAAACACATTCGGTTACGTTCGAAGCAATAATGAGAGTAATGCCGGCTCGATTGGGAAACAACCACCTATCGCTCGACCAACGGCACTCTCGAATAATAGTAATGGTGGAAGCAATACCAACAATGGACCCAGTAGCGCTGGATCTTTGGGAGGTCTTCTATTAGATCGCCCTTATAGCAATGGTCTAATATCCTCTACTTCTACTTGCGCCTCGTCCACATCGCCATCATCCTTCGATACTAACAATACTGTCATCACTAAGCGTTTCAGTTCGGCTAATAGCCTAGGCCCATTCTCAACCACGATCAGCGATCTTAATTTAAACGGTATAAACGCGAATCCTTATGAAAAATGGAGCAACGGAGGTAGCGATGTTTATCCAGTTGTCACTACGAACGATCATTTTCCAATGCCAACGTCCGTTGCCGTTGCGGCAAATGCCGCGTCTAGTGACTCTGTTCTTGATCTTACCTCGAAACTGATGTCCGCTACAGTGATATTTCCGCCAAAGTCACAGATTAAACGACAGAAAATGATTTATCACTGCAAATTTGGCGAGTTCGGTGTTATGGAAGGTCAGTTTACCGAACCTTCAGGGGTGGCAGTGAACGCGCAAAATGACATTATCGTAGCCGACACGAATAATCATCGGATTCAAATATTCGATAAAGAGGGTAGATTCAAATTTCAATTTGGGGAGTGTGGTAAACGAGACGGTCAATTGCTTTATCCGAATCGTGTGGCAGTAGTGAAAACATCGGGCGATATAATCGTTACTGAACGTTCACCGACTCATCAAATACAAATATATAACCAGTATGGTCAATTCGTGCGTAAATTTGGGGCAAATATATTGCAACATCCGCGTGGTGTTACGGTTGACTCGAAAGGGCGCATAGTCGTTGTCGAATGCAAAGTGATGCGCGTGATTATTTTCGACCAGGCCGGCATCGTTCTTCAGAAATTTGGATGCTCAAAACACTTAGAATTTCCGAACGGAGTAGTCGTGAACGACAAACAAGAGATCTTCATTAGCGACAATCGCGCCCATTGTGTGAAGGTGTTCAATTACGAGGGCGCCTATCTTCGACAAATCGGTGGAGAAGGGATCACCAATTACCCTATCGGGGTAGGGATCAACGCTGTAGGCGAAATACTGATAGCAGACAATCATAATAATTTCAATCTGACGATCTTCACGCAAGATGGTCAACTGGTTTCAGCCCTTGAAAGCAAGGTCAAGCATGCCCAATGTTTCGATGTCGCATTAATGGACGATGGATCGGTCGTACTGGCCAGCAAGGATTATCGACTCTACATATATCGTTACGTACAAGTACCGCCAATCGGCATGTAGAGCATCGAAAAATCACGACGCCAACAACGATCTAACGTTATTTTCGTCGTTGTCGTCATCTTTGTCGGTATTGTTTCGACGGCCATGAAATCAAGATCTCATCGATCTTTTTTTTACTTATACTTGCCTATCTTCTTCACCTACTTACCATCATCGCTCGTACTCACTTTACCTATCCATCTTCGCCCGCTCGAGCCACTTCACTTCCGTTTTACGAAACGAAACAAAATGCAGCGCGTATGCAAGCGAAATTGCGTTGATTCGACAGCTGTCGAAATTCAAGATGACAAGCCTTATTTATACGAACACGTGCGCATACGCCAACTAAACGGAACGGATTCTTTCCGCCAGTAGAAATCTCCCGTCGCAATCGTTCGAGAATTCGTTTCCGCATAGCAGAAAGTTATACTTTCGTATATATGCGTGCCGCGAATTTTTCACTTTCGTGTGAATGAACGTTAAGCACGTCTTTCCGAAAATTATGAACGAGAAAAAAAGAAAGACAAGATACAGAGAATAAATGGAAGGAAAATTAAACGAAGAAAAAACGAAGAAAAATGGCTATTCGATGCTCGACACGCACGTATACGAATCATTCTCCAAACTGTGTACGCGCACATATGAAATGTTCGTACAAAAAAGATAAACGCAGGCGAATTCGGGACGTCCATTTTGTTTGCGTGCATTATGTATACGCGCACGCGTGAAAAATGGAAATTCATACGAAACGTGTAAGCGCATACATGTGAAGAATTTACTTGTTAATGTTGTTATAACTGAAAATACTGTTATTGTTGTTTAGTTGTAGAGCTCGCCGCCGCTAGTCACTCCATTCTCACCTTCCTCATCCAGATTTTTTTTTCCTTTCAACCGATATTTATCCTCTACATTATATCTTCTTTTTCCATGAAAATTGATTTCCAATCAAAATCCTCTCCCTTCTAGTTCATTCCCTTCTCGATCAAAAACTACGAGAAGCATTTATTTCTCATTATCTCAGATATCACGTTTCTGCACGTATTTTTTCTAGGTCGTGCAAACGAACGTGCTACCCGTCCGGTTTTGACACGATTATTTTTTTAACTATCGACTCTTTGGGTTTAATTTTGGATTTAAACTTGTCTTAATCGCGTTTAATAAGAGCTATCATTGAACAATTATACATTTTACTATGACCCAAAGCGAAATAATTTTGCTATCGACGTCATCGATTCGTAGAGATCGATACGTGGCGAGAGCTTGTTTCGTTGCTCTCTCTTCTCCTCTCATGTGCGTACGTAATTGAAAAATAACGTAAAGTATTCAATCGATATTCTACACGTTTGCATTGCCTTGAATTATTACATAAATCAAAGAATGATAATTGACAATATCGATTACCGTCGTTGTCAAATGTGTGTCCGTTCGTTAAGCTTTCACTTATCTTTGAAAATATTTTCATCAACGGACAACTCTGTATTCATGTTTCTTTTTTTTTTTTTTTTATCTTTTCCGAATTCTTCTTTATCCTCATATGTCATTTATTTCTTATTTTTTTAGATAATTAAGTAGATATTCTTTTTTATACATATTTATATGTATATTTTTTTTTTTCATATAAATCAACGAAGATTCGTCTTAACCTATGATTTTAAGTATGACAATGATGATAATCCATTTTACTTATTTCAATTCATTTCATTCTTTATTCTTTAGTTGTTTTTCTTTCACTTTATTTTTTTTTTTTTTGTTTTGTTAATATATTTTTTTTCGTCTTTTCTTTTTTACATATATTTAAGTTTCTTTTTTTTTTTCTTTGAACAAATGTGATTATAAAATCCGCGTTAATTATATATTTTACTTTTTATATGATTTATCTTTCATTTTCTTGAAACTTGTCTGTCCATGAAGGAAGATGAGAGATTACAGAAAATATGCTCGAAAAGACTGAGAACGTTCTTTCGTTCACAAGTCGAGTTTTTACATAATAAAAAAAAAAAAAAAAAAAAAAAAAAAAAAA